CGCCCCACGGCGAGCGCCCCACGGCGAGCGCCCCACGGCGAGCGCCCCACGGCGAGCGCCCCGAGCAGGCAGCGCGGCCCGCAGCCCCAGCTGGAAGGAAAGAGGCCGCGCAGCACAGGGGAGCTGCGAGCAGGCTCCTTTGCTCGGCATTTGTGCACAGGAGCATCCTTGCATCCTTTTTTTAAAGCAGATGTCCCTTTAAACGTTCATAAACGCCAATGGCGGAGGCCAGTTTGCCAGTGACCGCGTGGAAATTAAAAAGGAAATTGAAAAGGGCCATGGCGAGGGCTGGCTTCCATGCCAGGGCTCGGCCCCTGCCCGCAGGACCCGAAATCTTCTCCTGCGGTCGTGCTGTGGTCAGACTCTCCGGCTGGGCTGTCTCGGGAGCCGTCACCCACACTGGTTCCTCGGGCAGGGCTCAGGCAGGAGAGGGGGGACACATTTCCTCCATGGAGGTGCCCCGTCTCCAAATTTCACCATGAGGCTACTTCAGATTAAGACCTGACTTTGCCCTGGCTACGTTATCTTTGCTCCCCGAGCAAAGGAGGGGGCCGGGGACAGTCCCAAGCCCCATAGCCCCAGGGCTGGGGATGGAGCAAGATGCGAGGCAGAGAAACCGGAGCTGGAGATCCCACYCCGGAGATATTTTGCCATGTGAAAAACAAGGCAGCCCCGGCACCAAAACCCCCTGGCAGCCCTCGCTCGAGCACAGAATCCGAGCGAGTTCCCCATTTGCTTGCCGCCCTTCCGGGGCGCAGTTTGCCACAGCTGCCGGGCTCCAGTTGTGCTGGGCTGAATGGGGGAAAACAGGGGAGGAAGGATGAAAAGGGAATTGTGGGCACTTTGCTTTCCTTCCCAGGAAACACATACACGCTAAAGAGAGTGTGTATATTTAACAGGCACTAGCCTCTCTCCTTCATTTGGCGCAAACCCGTACGCAAACGCCTTCTTCCCTTTGCATTCGATGGGCAGGATCCCCTCGCAGCGTGCCCCGCAGCGGGAAGGAACGCGCACAGGATACGGATCCGTACGCAGCGCACACGATACGGATCCGTACGCGGCGCGCAGCCTTCCTAGCGCGCCGTGGGGCAGACCTGAGCGGAGCCCGCAAACCGCGGCGGCAGGAGGGGAGGCCGCACGACAGCAGCTCCCGAGCGGCGCCACAAGGACTGCGTCTCTGAGGCCACAGCCCGGCCTCAGCGCTGCTCATTGCACCTAACAGGGCCTGCTTGCTGCTGGAAGCTGAACGAGACGCGAGCGAGAGCCGCTGTTGACAGCCCAGCGGTGCCTTTGGGCCCCACAGCCCAGCAACCTTCTTTTAATCAACCCTGCAGGCTCGCCCTGGGGTTTACGGGGATAGACAAGGTTTTTTCTGGTTATTTTATGCCAAGGAGCCTCCCGCCCTGCTGGCACGATACAAAATCTCAAGTTAAATTGTGCTTCCCATCTGTCAGGCTTATTGATGAGGGRAAAAAAAAAGCTGTGTTCTGGCTGCTGGTTACGAGGTCTGAAACACGATCGGCCCTGCAGAGGCCTGAGCCAAGGGAGGGCATTTGSGCTGTGTTCACCAGCTGCAGAGCGAGATAAGGGACGCAGATATTTTTGCCTTAAAGGGAGAGCATGAGGCTACTGAAGCCGAGCAGCAGAAACGKGGCACGAAGGCGCAGAAAGGCCCAACAGCTGCCTGACCCTCCTTACGTGACCACCCAGCAGCCTGTGCCTCTAAAGACGGATCCCAAAGTCGCTCTGAGCTGTGGCCGCCAGCCCAGGGCTGACCACGTCCAACCTTTCCCTTCCACATACACCCAGCACGTGCAGGAGTGAGGCTCAGGATCGAGCCCACAGAGGCTCCCCCGCCACCGGAGGCCAGGCCGAGACGAGGTTTGATGGAACCCAGAACTCCTGTGTCACGAACAGCCCCAGCCTTGGCCTTGCTCCATTTTTACAAGCCTCCCTCTGCTCTCAGACCGCTGTGTTTATACACAGCCCTGACGGGATTTCATCAATATTTGCTTAGCCAAGTACACGCTCTAAGTTAGAAGCGAAATTCTCCTTTAATGAGCGTGCCAAGTCCCACTGCTGCCTTGGCGTTTCCTAAGCTGCCACATGTCGGAAAGCAGGTGACCTGCTTTTGGGTCTCTGCCTTGGGAAGGGACCAAACCTGAGGCCTGAGCCAAGGCAGCATTGCCCAAGAACCTCGCAGAGCRCCCGGAGAAGGTCCCAATGAGGCAGCTGCTGTTCCAGGCCCACGGAAGGGCTGGGAAACCCTCAGCGGGCTCTGTGGGATGCCACGAGATGGGGAAAGGTGCAAACAAGAACTGACAGCTCTTGATCTCAGGCATACCTGACAGGTGCTGAAAACAAGGGTACGGACAGAGAGGACAAGGGAGTGTCGAGTCATGACGCCTTAAAAAACATTAAGGACTCACCAAGCGTTGAGTTTAGCCCAGGGCATCAGGCAGCAGCCCTTAGGAGCTTCTCTGCCGTCCACCCAGCGCCCATGGGGCCCTCGGTGCTGGGCCACCTTGAGAGCTCAGGGCAGCCCCTGACGGCCCCATCCTAGAGCACCTCTACAGGGCTTCCCAAAAAGACAAAGGGAGAACCAAAACCCCTCCATGCTTTTCCTTCTGGTTTTGCCTTACCGTAACTCAAGATATTTCTTTCTTTTTTTTTGAAACAGGAACGTGATTTTTCTGCAACAGATAACTAGTGTTTTTCGATCAACGCTACCACAGCAATTTTACCTGGAGATCTCAAGGCAAAGGGACRGGAACTCATCAAGTGCAAATTCAAAGACAAAATACTTGGATGCAACGGCCTTTCCCTCCCCTCTCCCCTTGCCTACTTCCAGTTTCTCAGAAATATCACACTGGTTATTTGTAAATGGTTTCCAACTCGCATATCCCCAAATCTGCTGCTCTTACATCCTCAGGGAAAAATATTTATGTAGCCAGAGAGGTTCTGAACAGCATGGATTTCTTCACAGGGTCAGTTATTCTTATACCACATGCTTGACAGGAATCGGCTTAGGGAAGTCCAAGTAATAACAGTACAAAAACTAAAACAAAACAAAAAAAGGAGGATCTAAAATGAGGGCAGGGATTGACTTCAAGATCTGCGTGCAAGTTCCCTATAAACTTCATTCACGGCAGTTCTCCAGAGAGGAAACTGCACCAAGAAAGTGAATAAATAACCAGTCAAATTAAGTTTCACTTCTCCGCTCAAATGCCGAGACCAGATCCATCACCCGCATCATTTTGATGGTGGAGTCCAAATAATTTTTGCTCCTCTTCCCAGGGCCTKGTAACCACAGGAAGAAGGAGGAAATGCTGCAAACCAGGGTTTTCAATGGGCCCGTTATGGCTTTGGGGAGACGGGTTCAGCGCCTGGCACCCTATAGGCACCATATGTGGTAAGAGGAGACATCTCCTACCACGTGTGTGTCCAATTCCTCGCCGGTCAAAAGGCACCAGAAGCAACCCAAGCTCTCGGTACTCCCAGGTTTGACCCACTAAGGATGACGGCACAAACGCTGAGGAAGGTTGGGATTTTGGAAACGGGCCGTGCCAAGGGATGGCTGGAAAACACAACGCCAAACACTGCTGTAGCGCCGATGAGGATCACACACACGAGCCCCTCACCTTGGGAGGCGCTTCAAAAGGAAGCTCGGGAGCCAGGCTCGTTCCTAGCTGTTTATTGTAAATCACTCGAGAGCTGACACGTCATTAATGGCAAARTAACATGGTTAAAACACCCGCCCGATGAAATACAGAATGAAGACAACTCCTTTATATAATATGATATCATACAGAAAAGAAGAAATGAAGAAAARGGGTTTTTTTCTTTCCTAATTCTACGTCTTTCCTGAAAATATCTGACTTGGTTCTCAGTTATCCCGTGGCCGCTGGAGCGCGGGGCCGAGGAAGCCTGAAAACGGACGGTCCCGCTCAGGCAGGGCAGAGCRAAGACCTTAGAGAGAAACGAAAATCAGGCCCTCTATCTTCCAAAGCGCTCCAGTGCTGACAGTACAAAGGCTCTCTCCGGCACTGGCTAACATCTAACACAAAAGGCKCTATGTCCCATTAATTCCACACGCTTTTTTTGCCTTTTCTTAATTTCTTTCTTCTCCTAAAACAAGGCAACTGTTAAATTCAGAAGCTACTAAACTGTCTCCACATTTTGCCCCAGAAACCAATGGATATTGCACGCAGCCAAAATATCAGTAGAGACTCTGACTTAGGTAAAAGTCAGACCCAAAGACCCAATAGTCCAAGGCAGAAAAAAAAAACCCAGAAATTAAGAGGCCTCTTCTGCAACAGGAGCTAAAATTCGCATGCTGTGATGGCCATGGCTGATGAGGATGTAACGCAGGTCTCCAAACATGGAGCTCAAAGCTTTATTTGATTAAGACGTTGTTGAGCCCTAAACTTGTACAAATTATAACGTATACAGGACAACAAAGGAATCCTCTCAACATCGGCATCCGTTTGGATTGTGGCCCGCAGGGAGACTAATTTTCCACACAAAAGCCTGTTCAGCAGTAAATGGTTTTCATATTTAGCAGAAGCAGCAACGCATTGGTCTGGCTAAGAGGGCTAATAAAAAAGAGCACGCGGATTTCGAAATAAGCTCAAACTAATTTTAGGCTGATCCTTCTGCTTATGCAGCCTGTTTTTCTTGATGCTGTTGGTGTTGTTTTCCATTAGTCTGGAGTTGCCACAGCACACTAGGCCTTGACCCGTCCCCTCCAAGAAACGTGTCTCAAAAGCATGTTTGATTAATAGTAGAAACAAATATTGCCCTGAACTGCACTTTGAAAGGATGGTTAGCTCCTCAGACCTGCCAAGTTTACCATGAACAAGCAAATGACCAACTATCTGGACAAGAACCACGTGACAAAAGTCAACTATCTCTCATGCTTAACTATAATATTAAATAATATGTAACTTTTTTACACTTGCTACTCARGTTTGGATATAATACAGCTAACAGGAAAAAAAAAAAGCAAAGTTGGAGCTGAATCTTTTCCYGAGTTTCCTCAGGAATTAATTAGGCCCAACCGGTCCAAAACCAAAAAATAGGCACCCCCCTAAATTTAACCAGAATAAACCCAATTCAGTGCACGCGCACACACGTACGCARGGGCACTGACGTACAGAGCAGCGTTACTTTCTCAGCCGCTGCCGTCGCCGGTCTTTTCTTTGCGAGCCTCGACCACCTCCTTCGGAACCCGTTTTCGGTCGGTAACCAAGCCCAGCCAGGACATGAAGTCAATGAACCAAGTGGTTGGGTTGAACTTCAGGCCCAGCTCGCTGGCTGAGTAGTCGAAAGGGAAGGTGTGGTGGTAGTTGTGGTACCCCTCACCTGGAAGAAAACAGATAGAGAGGTTGGAGGCTGCACAGCGAGCAGGTTGAGGCCTTTGGGGACAGACTTGGTGGCCCAAYCCAGGGCCAGTTTCCCAAGTCAGGTCAGGTCGTGCTGTGGTCGCATCCGGCTACGAGAGACCCAACCCCTAGGGCACATCCACAACTGACATCACCCAACGCTTTGGATCTTGTTTCCCAGGAGAAAAGGAGATGTTGCCCACACCAACACTCAGAGAAGAAAACTAGACGTGCTTGTTTTCTAGACGAGAAACGTCTAGAAACCCCTACTAGACGTCCTAAAACTCCAGTAGACGAGAGAGAACTCCTAAGTGGAAACTCCTAAGTGGAAAAGCAGTAGTTTGGGGCAGCGAAATGGGAAGCAGCAGCAGGGGACCACTGCRGCAAACAGCTGAGTGGATGGGGAGCTCTCTCTCCAGGCCTGCAAACCCCTAAGAGGAGCCCCAGCGTGGCGGCCCCGTCTCCGTGCTCACCGATGGCGCCCACAGTGGCGAAGGTGTTCTCCCTGGGGCTGATAGTCTTGTCGTAGGGGCGCCTGCCGTACATGTGCGCGGCACTGTTGATGAGCCAGATGACGTTGAGCGAGACGGCGTAGCGCAGGATGGAGGCCAGGAAGTAGGCGTTCCACAGGCTCTCGCCCCACAGGTACCAGGGCACCACGGCGGGGAGCACGAAGCACATGAGCACCACCGAGATCTTGTAGTACCTGCAGGGAAGCAAAGTTGCACAGGAACTTAAGSAAACACTTCTTGACAGTGAGGGTGCCAGAGCCCTGGAACAGGCTGCCCAGAGAGGTTGTGGAGTCTCCTTCTTTGGAGATCTTGAAAACCCGCTTGGATGCAGCCCTGTGCCACGTGCTCTAGGTGACCCTGCGTGAGCAGGGGGGTTGGACTAGATGACCTCCGAGGTCCCTTCCAACCTTAAGCATTCTATGATTCTATGAAAGGGACCCCACTGCGGTGCTGGAAACACAAAGCCCAGAGGGATGCCAGGAAAAAAAGCCAGGAAAAGGCTTGCAATGAACAGATGGACCACTCCAAGGAGGGAGGAAAAGCCATTCTTGCATGTCAAACTGAAATACCAATTATATTCCAGTAGTTATTAGCTATATTCATTTTTTTAAGCTCAAAATGCTTTGTGTATTTTGGTTTTGCTTTTGGAGGTATAAATTAGGTTAATGTCTCAAAACCAGTATTATAGAAAAAAGAGATGGGGCAAGTGATCCCAATTTTTACCTTTCGACACACACTTCAGCATCATTAACACCATGGATGTCTCCAAACAACACCTAGAAGCACTTGGTGGAAACAATTTGCTATCAGGAAGCCAATAGGCAGGTTTTCATTTATAAAACACAGTCCTGATACCTTGTCCAGCCCTTGGAAAGCAGAGTGCTGCCCAATGCCACTGGGATGAGCAGGAGAAAGGCTCTGTAACCATGCACTGGAGATGCTCTCTGCCTAACTGAGAACTGTGCCAGTTCCATCCTACCTCTCCAGAAGGACAAACTGGATAACGTGTGTGACAGGAGGACCCATCGTTGGGACAGAGAAAAGTCTTGGGCCTGGGGCGTCACTTCAGCATCATCAGCTCCACGAGGTGCAATTTTCTCTTGGACCAGCTTCAGCGCAACGAGGCACACGCTATAGACAGTCTTTAGTTTTCAGCATCTATACTATGCTTGTGATATGACTTTACTCAATTTATCCGCTAAATGAGAAAGCCATTCTGATTTTTTTTTCCACCTATGGGTATCCTCCTGTAAAGCAGATTGGGCACACACATTTTCCCCTCTTTTCAAGTGAAAAAAAAAAGAAAAAAAATCACCTTTCCTATGCAAGAGGATGTTCTGGCCATGCCCAGGGGAGGTAGGTGCTTGAGACGCATTCGGAGCAAGCACTCAATGTAGGCAGTAACAGAACATTTCTCCTAGTCTCAGCCTGGTCTTCCACTCTTAAAAAGGAGGTCTAGTTTTGCTTCACATGTTTTGGGAGAAAACAAAGCCACAGAGGAGACACCTGGCTCTGAAGGGTTCAGCCAAGCCTGGAAAATGCGTATGATCATATACTTGGAAAATGAAGTCAACTGAAACCAACACACAAAGCAGTGGAAGGAGGAGGCTGAACAGTCTGTGAGGAAAGACCAACAGCYGAGCTTTATGGTAAAAATCAAGCCATATGTTCAGAAAAAGCAGGAAAGAGAGAGTGTAGGATTCACAGAGGTGAAGAGCAAAGACCGTTGCGGGAGAAACGAGGAGAAGAGGAGCTGACAGGCCAAGGGGAATGATGCAAAGGGAAGCGGAGCAGAGGAGCAGCTCGGCAAGAAGCGGGAAGGAAAAAGCCAAGAGAGCGACAGGAAATAAATGGCTGTTAATGGAGGATGRGTTAAGTGGACTCAGAAGCAGAGAGCAGCAAGACAATGGGAGGTGACAGTAAGTGTCAAGTGTCAGTAAGGGCTGTGTCTTACTAAGCAGCTACGGAGCGTCCCCAGCTTGAGAGACCAAGTGGTCCCATCCCTGCTGTCAAGTCCTCCTACGTCCTTGGAGCCCAGATTTACCTACATCCTAGAGTCATCCCAGGCCGTCAGCACAAAAGACAGTGGCCACACACTGCTGGAGCAGCAGGCAAYGGGATTGTCAATGGGTGAAGGGAGAAAAAATGAACTGCAAGCTAAAAAATTGCTCCTATGTTCCCATCTGATAGGTTTAAAATAGACYCCTGCCAGTGTTGAGGATTTTCTGGAAGGGATGAGAAAGAGCAGGGTTTGGTTTCAACTGAATGGACACTAAAACTGTGCATTTGTCACAAGTTTTTCACACAGCCAAACCTGTTTGTTCCAAGCTTCATTCAAGTTTCAATCAACAGCCACAGGATATTAGACAAAAATGTTAGTACTGGCAGCATTTCTGTAAGGAAAGAAAATTTCCATGAACACAATTCATCTAAAACCTGCCAGAGAGCTTTGATAATCTTGTGTATGAAGTCAATCGATCCTGTGCTTGGAAAGCTCTCAGTTGGACTTGTTTTGTTTGAGGACGGTCTCTCATGCTGGGCTCCAGATGAAGATCCACCATGAAAAGACCATCATGAAAAGAAGGCATTTCCAGGGTTCCTTCCTATGGCTCCATCTTCACTCACCTGAAGCAAAGCTCTTGTAAAAGGAAAAAAATAAAGGACAGTTTCCCACTGACTTCTGAACCAGGCCGAGCTCATCAGTTCAAGGATAGATATTAAGCTAGAGAAGAAGGTTTCCACTCTAGAAAACTCAGAGTTTAAAACGCTTCCCACTCAGCATTGAGATAAATGAGAAAAAATATCCCAACAGCTAATCAGACACTGATTAAAGCCCTTCTGTGAGATGCAAGCAGCTCAGACTGAGGTCTCTGATTAGGACGTAAGATTTCACATCCAAATGGGTACTTAACTACAGAAATCTTGCCACTTTAGGGTCTTTATCCTTAGGGAAAAGATGGAAGTAGATTTTTTTCCTCCAAGGAGAGGAAAGGCAAAAATCTACATGTCCTGGCCACAGCGGGTTGGGGGCTTTGGGGCAGTACCAGCAGGTCACAGTTGGTCACCACTGACTCCCTCCAGGGGACAAACACAGCACCGAAGAGGGGACAGTGCTTGTGACACGCTGAGCTAAACTGCAGAGGATCCTGAAGGGGCTTAGCCTTTTGGGGGGACAAGTCTTCCACATTTAAACCAAGAGCCTCATTTAAATGGCAGCTCTGTCTGCAGAGATGTGTATACAAAAAAAAAGAGCATGAGACTGAGATATCACAGGAAATGCTGATATCCACAGCAAGGACACTGAGTAAAGCTTAACTTTCCTGCACCAAATCTGCTTGATCAGGCCATGATGTTTGCAGTAAGATCAAGGCAGAGAAGCAGGAGGCTTGTAGGATGCTGTTGTTTGGAGAAAGGTAACAAATCAGCCAAGAGCTACTGTAGCAAACTGCAAAGGAAGCTTTGCAAACACCCACTGCTGGCAAAGGAGACAGTGTTAGTGACAAAATAGGTTGATGGGAGTGAATTCCTCCCTCCTGCTGCAACTCCCATGCGGGGGTAGTGCTGATAAGTGTGTAGCTTTCTCCAACACACAAAAAAGCCCCAACCACATGTATTTCAGAACTCMACTGGCTGCCCCTTTTGCCCATGAAATGCTCAGAAACTCAGGTACAGGGTTTGCAAGTACTTGCTGCCACAGCCCTTCACCTGTTCCTATAATGTCTTTACTCGTGTAGAGGACAAAGCAGGGAGCTCTTTTTCCCCTCTCACAACACGTGCAACAAGCTGAACTCRGTCTGTGCTAATTCTCACAGGGGATGATTCATGTCCTGTGGRCATAAAGATGGAGACTGATGGTCCTGGAAGGAGGAACGCTTTGTCTGACCTGGCTCCCAGCTGCCAAAAATAAGCTGGCAGACTGAAAGGTGCAGTTTTGCACTATGATAGGTAGTGTTTAGAGCCTTTGCTCCGCTGCTCACGCAAGAGCACTGAGGTCCCAGCAGCTTCTGCTGGGGCCACTTTGCCAGCCAGCCTTGGCTTTCCGGGAAAGCACAAGGACAAGGCTGGAGCAGCTCTGCTTGCGCACCAGCGCCTGCAAACACAGTCTGCAAGCCTCAGCAAGGCGGCTGTAATGAAAAGGGGGATGACAAAGTGGTGGGGATATTGTGGTGGGGAGGAAAAAATGGGAAAGATGAGAATACAGGAGGAGGCAAAACCAGGCACGGATCCCTCCCAGCTGCCTCACGCAACAGCCGTCGCTCCCACTTACTTTCTTTGGAACCTGACGACGGGGTCTTCCAGCAGGTCGGTGAGATCCAGYTTACTCCCCTTCTCGATGACGTCCTGGTGCTTGCGCACCAAGAGCCAGCCGATGTGGGAGAAGAAGAAGCCCCGGAGCGCGTTGTGCGGGTCGGCATCCGTCTCKGAGTACTTGTGGTGCACGCGGTGGTCCCGGCTCCACTCATAGATATCGTTCTGCAGCGGGGAACATAGCGGCATAAGAGGAGAGAGGCTGGAGCTGCTTCCCTGCTCCCAAGCCCCACGCTGATGCTTGTCAGCAAAGGTTATCGGCTAAAGTCATCCTGAGGGACCCTGGCTTCGCAGGGAGACCGCACATCATGTCCACACTGAATGGCACATGCTCTGGGAAGGGGTGACACAGACTGGAAACCCCCTGGAGCTGAAAAAGGCCTTGGGTCAACAACCTCTTGGGAGCCACCATCAGCCTGCCCTAGTCTTACACCCCTCTGATGGTCGCTCTCAAGGGATGAAGCTGCTACATCCACGCCTATGTTCTACCTCGCCAAGCTGCTCTCAAGGGGTCGAGGTGTCTGTCCCTGGGGCASTACCACGCAGCAGTTCACACTTCTGGCATCCGTTCTTTACGCCGGTCACGGTTGGTCACCGCTGACTCCCTCCAGGGAGGAACAGAGCTAAAAATGGGCCGGCGTTTGTGACATGCTGAGCTAAACTGAACGGGAGCCTGCAGGTGCTTCACCTTTTGGAGGGACAAGTCAGGCCTGTTTAAGCCAGTACTCTCATTTAAGTGACTGCTCTGTCTGCAGAGATCTGTACAAGAGCGTGAGATGGAGCTATCACGGGAGAGATGTGCCTATTTTATGGGAAATTAAGCCGTGGATTCACAGACAGGCAGGAAGAGCAGGCTCAGTCCCATAACACCAACTCAGCAGTGGATCCTGATGAGCTACAAACTAAAGCTCAGCCCTGTCTCTGCCAAAGCTGTCAGCAGACACGGGTCACTGAAGTGCCCTGGAGCTGTAAATGGGATTAGGTAGTTGGTAGGGAGGAAAGGATGGAGCACAGTTTAAGAAGTAGATCCCTTAAGTGAACAAAAGAACCCAAGTCCCTGGAGATCCTTAGCTTGGCCAGAGCTCAGCAGTCCCAATTCTGAACTGTCATACTGTGATGAGCTCTGGCTGGTGGAAAAGGCTGAAGTATCTGTGGGGTGGACTGCACTGGGGTAGTGGGGAGCTGCTTTCTTCAGCACCAAGCTGTGAAAGCCACTGAGATGAGGAAGGAGAGACCTGTCAGCAGMGCTCGTGTACATCCCCACCCTGTCAGCTATCCCACTGTGGAAGGTGCAAAATAAAGTCGGAGCCAAGCAAACCCAGGGAAGTCACCCAACTCTTCAGTACGAAGGGGGGATTTTTACGTTGCTTCCATTTTGCTTTGTCCTGTAGAGAAATCAAAAGGAATGAAAGTCTCCACTCTGCTTCAAGTGGCAGACTTATTCGTCACTGGGAGTATCCAGAAGACTGGAATAAGCCAAGGTTAAGTCATTTAAAACACCATAAGATTGTGCAAGGAGCACATCTCCGAAAGGTCTTCTTTCTGAAGCAGAAACGATCTTTCAGCTGAGACTATTGATCATTACGCTACAAGAGCCCTTGAGAAAACTATCTGTGGCACAGCAAAGCAGGAGGTCAAAAGCAATAACATTAGCTTGGCTTTTCCTAGAACAGCAAGTACCTGCGGGGCTGGCAAAAAAAAAAAAAAAAAAAAAAAAAAAAGAAAACACCCAAAAAACCTCAGATGAAAGCACCAGAAAGCTGTGAACCAGCAGAACTGCATCTAACTATGAACAGAGAGGCCCACGAGGCTACGAGGAAGTAAAGGCCAGAGGCCAGAGCAGTTGGCAGCAAATATTACAGACAACTGGAGTGTGACATGTGCAAGTGTGCTCCAAGTGCATTAATAGCAGCCGTTTTTCAGGAACATGCCACTTCAGCTCAGATTTCCAGGAAACACCAGGGTCTATCCGTTCCGAAGCAGCAAGTGGCAGAATCTCCCTGTGACAGCGACCCAGCCAAGAGATTTTTTTGAGTGGGTCCCTTAATCATCCTGCAGGGTGCCCCTGACATCAAACTGGGCCCTGCAGTCAACTCCACGTGTTGACAGGTCATGTCCTAGGACCGCTATGGAACCAGGCTACAGTGGCAGATACCAGGGGGGACATGTCCCGCTTGGAATGGCGAACTTTTAACCAGGGAATCAAGTAAACCTAAGCCAGGCATTACCCCTTTCTGAGACAAACCTGTAACAGCAAGAGGCATAAAGCCTTTCAAACTTACACGAGCTTAAGTAAGGCTGGATGGAGGGGTAAGAGTCACCTCAGCGTGCTCCGAGCACAGGCACACACTGGGCTAGCTTGTGATGGCATCTTTAAGCCACTTGTGATGGCATCTCTAAGCGAAGCACCTCACAGTTTCATGCAACCTGATGTTAAAACTGCTCAGCCACGTTGCCAGGGCTCCTCAAGAAAGCTGGACGCCTCCAAGGCCACCTCTTCCTCCCGGTGCTGGGCGAGTGGGTCTGAGTGCTCCTCCACAAGTCACTCACGGTGGTCAAAAAGGAGCTTTGCAGGTAACGTGTGTCATGGTAAGCAGGGGCAGGCTCCAGACTGCTCAAAACAGAGCGYGTGGTTTGGCCTTAGGTTTTCCTTCCGACACGGAGAAGGACACAGAGGTGGCTTGAAGTCCCTTTGAAGTCCTCCCCTGCCTCGGGCTCACACTGTGTTTGCCTCAGCAAAAAGCAGGGATGAGGCCAACACAGCTGAGAGCAAAATGCACAGCAACAGGGGAGCAGAAGGCAGCGAAAACACAGCAGCCAGGCTCGCTGCGCTCCAGCTCGGCACAGATTCATTTGAATTGAGCAGGAAAGATAAAATCTGCTGTGAAACAGGAGGCTGGTACCAGGGGGTTCTTAAACTCCAAACTGTTGTTTAACATGCTGAGTTTTGTCGAGCTTTACAAGGAATAGAGGGGCACAACACAGCTGGAATATGAGTCAGAATAAAGGGGAGCTACAGGCAAACTGAACATCTCACCAAACTGCTATGGGCYCATTGTGCTCTTGGTAACGTGAGCAGGAATTATTAAGCTTAATTCTCTCTACTTGAACAAGAAGGTAAATGAAAGACAATAAAAAGAACAAAACAGAAGCAGCTAAAGGGCCCGGCTTCACCCTTTCTCAAGGTACAAAAACAACAAGTCACATCGAGAGACTAAAGGGAACGAGCTCAAAATCCAAAGCGCATCTCACAAAGCCCAACTCACCTGTGGAACTCAGCACCATAAGAGCCTGGCCTTGGCCCTGTAGAGACTGCTGGAGCGCTGAGCCCCTCACCTACACATTCTGGACTCGGCCTTAATGTAATTATCGGGCCTAGGCTGCCGACACGTATTGCYATGCAGGTGGCGAGGGGGCTGCGAGCCCTCCGAGCCAGCACAGGGCTATCAGCAGCAAACCTCTTGCTGCTGCTTTTTTTTTCTCTCCCCTCTTGTTATCTCTAAGCTGAAGAGATGCCTTCCCAGGGGGATAAAGCTGCCGGGAGGCCAGATAATCCGCACGGGAGACCACAAGCCCACCTGGAAAGCCATGGAGTTGGCCGCAGCCAGGAAGATGCGCAGGGGCAGCTTGGCTTTGTAGGACCGGTGGCTCCAGAGGCGATGGGCGCCCGCTGTCACGCCCAGGGTCGTCATGAGGAAGTAGAAATACACTGAAAGACACAAGCCAAACCACACAAGTCATTAGTTTTGCTTGCTTTCACGTTAAGGTGATTCTTGCCYCTGCCCAGGGCACTCGGAAGACAAGGCCGGGCAGGCAGATGAGGATCACTCTTGCCAAAGAGCAAAGGTGAAGAGCAGCAATGGCTCTAAAGGGGCCCTCGCCTTGAGCCTGCTCTGTCAGCCAACCGAGGAGGCTCCTGCAAAACAYCCCGTTAGAGTTTCCGCGTGAAAAAAGTGTCTTAGTGTCTTATCAGGGGGAACTTATTCCCTTGGCAAACGTGACAGGAAGCTCAGCATTCACTCAGCATTCATTCAGCCTCCCTCCGCTTTGGAAACCTGTCCTTTCCCATTCCCTTCATTAAAAAATTGCCCAAGTAAACTGGTTTTGAGTGTTATTTCAGCAAGGAAATGGGTCCATTCCTTACTCACCGTGCTTGGCTCCAGGCTCTGCACCTCCCGGCCATAAATTGCGTAAAATTAAGAAGTGTAGAATTCAAAGCAGGGTAGATCCAAGCACAAGTTTTGAAGGACAGCCCCCAGTGAGGGTGCACCTCAACAAGCCTCRCGTGTGCTGGCAAGTGCAACAAGCTGAAGTCTACTGCTCAAYGCCGACTCCTGCCTGCTTCCTGAAGGGAGATGTGTAATAAAAAGCCATGCCRTCCCCTCCACGTGTTATGTATAGATCTATTTTTGCAGCCGTCGGGTGGGTAAACACGCTGGCACCATGACTAACTCACGGCCCAGCTTCCTCTGCAGTCCTGGAGCTGTTTGCAGATGCCTCTGTAGTGCAAAGCTCCGGGCTCCTCCTRTAGAATTGTGGCCTACCTGCAATGCTATTTTCTATACAGGATGTTAAGCAGTAAATGAAAGCAGAGGTGCCGCTCCAAACAACAGTTGTTTGGCCTCCCTTCCTCTCCACCTGGGAGTTCTTCTCCCATAGCAAAGCAAAAGCCTCTTTCTTTGACCAGGCACTTGCCCAGATACCCATCGTGATCACCATCAGTTGTATGAGAAGAGAATTAAAGACAGGCATGACGGGGCAGATGCAACATTACAGTGCTACTGATTTCTTCTTGATGGCGAGATGGAGCGATAGGATGCGGGCCAAACCAGCAGCCACRCTGCATTCCATGGATTTAGACCACTTGATGATCCAGCTTTCATGGATCACAGGCCCTGAGGACCATACRAAGCTCCAAACCACCCAACGTGACCAAGAATTTTGAATGGTATTTTGGGAGCACTGGGGTATTTAAGTGCCCCCCTGTGTCCATACCTTCGAACAGCACCTTCCAGCCTAGGCAGTCATGTAGGAGACTTCCCTCTGTTCCTCCCATGGCCACTTCCCTGGAAGTCTAGAGCTGYRGAGGAGAGACAGGTCTACCCGACACAGGGCTGCAGGAGTCCCACCGATGGACARCGCAGCTCTTGGGCAACAGGATGCRGGAAGCGTGGCCCACCAGGGCTTCTCCTGGCCCTCCAGGCTCCTCAAAGCCCATGGGCAGGAGCGGTCCGGCCAGCGGAACAAGGGCTGCCCTGCAACGTCCTCCGAGCCTCCCGTGCGGCGCTGCCTGATTGGGACTTCCCTGAGTTCTCCCGAGCTCCTTCCTTCCTCCCGCCGTTCCCAGCGCCGCAGGSAGCTGCCAGCCCCAGCCCAGCCGGCCAAGACGGAGCTACAGCGRCTGGGGCGCGGACCCACACGACACGTCTGGGTCCTGGCTTTGCAAGGGAGGAATCACAGCAGCTGGAATGGGCCTAAAAGAAACTCTGAGGGCTGAAGCAAACGTTCCTAGGGAAACAAAATACACCCAGGAGCCTGGTGACCAGAGCAGAAACAAATCCTGTCAGTCAAGAGCCAAATGCACTGCATGGTGAGATGGGATTTCTGCGATTCTGACCGGAATCAGCGTCTTTGGAAAATGTTACATGGACATCAATTCCCTGTGTATAAATAGCTCGGAAGTCAAATATTTGCAGTGTAAAGATGAATCCCAGGCTTTCTTCTGCAGAGTAAATTATTGACTCAAACTCCAAACCGTGCTAGAAACCATTTGATTTTACATTAATTATGTACAGAAACGATAGCTACAGTAACTCAATGAGAGCCACTACTTACGTGTGTGGCTCCTTTTTTTGAGGTGAACCCCTCTCTGAAACATATAAAGGGGTGACACTGTGGAGAAGAGCTCTGTGAACAGCTTGGTTTATACTCGGAACTCCCCTTAGACTTGTAACCAGAGACGGGCAGGTGCCAGCCCCCGTCCTCCCATCTCCTGCTMCCTCTCGCACGCCGAATGGTGTCCGGATAGGAGCCAAAACACTCTGCCATCTCTTCACAAGCATCGACACCTTTCCCCTTTGCCTTTTCTTTTTAGCTGTTGTGGAAATTAAGATGGAGACGCTCAGCTTGCTGCATTGTATTCAAGACATAGGGAGAGGAGAAGGATCCTTCCCAGGCACCTGCCGAGGGCTCGCGCGGAGCAGCTGGACTCAGTCCCGGCTTGAGAGCACCAAGGGGCCCGTGCTCCACATCCCGGAGCGGAGCACAAGGGCACGACTGGTTGGGAATGTGTCCCAAGGGCTCCCCGGATCAGGGTGCACCCACTACGGCTGCCACACACTTCTCCTCTGCCACCAAAAGCCCTTTCCTTCCTTCCTTCCTTCCTTCCTTCCTTCCTTCCTTCCTTCCTTCCTTCCTTCCTTCCTTCCTTCCTTCCTTCCTTCCTTCCTTCCTTCCTTCCTTCCTTCCTTCCTTCCTTCCTTCCCTCCTTCCCTCCTTCCCTCCTTCCCTCCTTCCCTCCTTCCCATTATCAGGCTTACCCTGTTGACAGTGAGAATTCACACCCTCTCCGCTGCACACAAATACTGGTGCTATCAGGCCCACATCACCCTCTGTGGCATCACACCCTTGACACCCTTGGGTGGGTGCCACATGCCCTGCTTAGGGTCCTACAGAAAGGAGCAGGGTGCGGGCTCCGGCAGGAGCATCTCCAGCCCGAGCTCCCTCAGCACACCTGATCCAAAACGCTCCCGATCCGGAGCAAAGCAAGAAACACAGAGGGGCAAAGCCAAGGGAAGAAGGGGAGCAGCGCGAACAGCGTGGAGAGGAGAGCGGAGAGACCCACGGCAGCGCACGGGGCAGGGAGGAGCGTTCAAGGGCTGTGCAAAGAGGGAGCCAGCGGCTTGCTGGGCCCCCAAGTGCTCTCTGCACTGACGCTGTTCATGGGAATGTGCCAGAATCRATAGGCAGAYGATTTTTATTCCACTTATTAATGAYCTSAAACAAAGGCAAAMGGKGTATTAATTACAGTGGCGGATGATGCTAATTTTGGAGCAGCTCTGAGAGCTAAAACCACAGAGATCCAGGCAGAAACAGGGGAAGTAAAGCTCCAAAGGAGAGTCTGTCTGGACAGAAAGGGACAAGTAACGTAGCTCGGGGGGTGGTGATTGCAGACAGGGATGAGAATGGGAGGCCTGGGGAAGTGATACCGTGCAGGGAGCCTCATCAACAGCAAATAAAATACCCTGAGCTTGCAATCTGATAAGGCAGCAAAACACATGAGTGATTTCGAACTGCAGGCGCGGGGTATCAGCGTCACAGTCCCAGGGCAGCCGCGCGCACCACAGCAGGCGAGTCGTTTAAAAACGCATGGGCTGGGAGATGGGCAGCATCAGCCATTTGGGCCCCATTTCRCAGAGGGGCTCGTCTTGCCCTTGGCTTGATTTCCACAAAAGCACGTGCCAAACTCCGAGGAAAATCCATGCCCAAGTCGCCGGGCTCTTAGGGAGGTACACAGGACACTGCCGCAGATCACGGCAATTCCACGGGCATTGGGATATCATCCTGAGTTGCAAGAAGCTCCTTTGCTCCAGGGGGAAAAGGAGCTGTCTCCAGGCTCTCCGCTGCGCGCTCAACGCCCAGGGCAGAGGCTCAGCTCTTCCCGAGCCCGCAGAGCRCCTCACAACCCAGTAACACAGAGCAAGCTGTAATCATCTCAGCCATCATCTCCGCTGGGGCACGGAGCACCAGGTATAAAAATAGCAGTTGCAAAGCAAATGCAATTACACAGTCCGTGCTGCTCAATGTCAATGCGCAAAACATGCTTTCCAACGCGGAATAACGCCGTGCAATCATTCCTGAGGGATGGGGCACACCGAGTGGGGCATTGACTCGCCCTTCTTGGCTTACAGCTTCGTGGTAAGACCGACATGCCCTTTCCTTCCATAAGGGACAGCCGGGAGATACGGGACAGCGGGGCCAAGAGCAGGTAGGACCATTGGCTCCGCAGTCCCTGTCAGTCCCGCTGGTGGCACTKCTCATACCTTGGAGTCTCTTGCAAAACCAAGGGCTTTGGACACGGTTCTCAGCCAAGGCAAGATGGCAAATAGGGCCCTGGCAGCCCTACACCCACATAGCCTAGCCTGGGTAAGTAAGACTGAACACGGATCCAACACAGCCCCATTTTCCCAAGAGACCGGGAGGTCAGGCAAGCTGGGCCAACATTCAACCTTGCCTTCTCGTTACAAAATGCGAGTTACAAAATGCAAGAGTGTCTTCCTGCTCCTGATACAGCAAAGCACCGACTCAGCTTTAAGTCCTACGATTAAAACTGTTCGTTTGGGCAGCACAGAGATTTTCTACACCAAGTGCCAGGAAACTAGGGCAAGAACTGCCCCCAGCACCCCCAGCCTTTACACTAGGGAAATGAGAGGGTTCATTCCTGCCCTGACATTTTCTGACCCCCGCTTCTACAAGTAGCCCTGGTGTTATCGTGACAGGATGAGCACGTGGGGGTAAACGCAAAGGAGCCACGGAGTCCACAACACYGACCTACATTTTCATCCTCATGCTCAAGCCCAAGTCGGCTGAGAACACCTCACCTTAAAAATGCCGTTATCCCATGGAAGACATCCCGTGACATGGCACTATTTGGTGGAAACAGCCTCTCCACAGCTGGAATCGCCAGGAAAGTCTCAGGCAAACCTCAGT